ATTTAAATAATTTTTTATCTATTGACATCTAGTCACTTGAAATAACTCATACTTGACTAAAAAATTATAGGTTTATATTAATTGAGATAAATTATTTCGTGGATTTAATATGTTTCTATTTCATGCTGATTTTATTGGCCTGGTAAATGTTTAACTAATCATTCAGTTTTTGTTTATATCGTTGTTTACAAATTCTACCTCTGGGTATATAAGTGTCTCAGAATTGAATTCATAGTTTCCAAATGTTCGCGAGTTTTAAACAGTTTTTAGTTACCATTTTGAAGTTTGCTAGTTCATTGGCATACACTGTTATCAATACGTTATCATATTGTATGTTTGAGCACTCACCTACCGTATGTAGTTTTCTATTGTCGTTTTCCCCGTTAGCTTCCTTATATTATGATAACTGAAATGTGTGACAAATCAAAATGCTTGTATTGTAGATTGTCAAAAAAATGTTGTGTTGATTACTGTGAGATATTATGTCTTAAATTTCTTCCGCGGTTTCGAAAAGTGTAGTTGTAACGATTTAATTACCGTTTGATAGAGTCTGGCGTGAAAATTGGTTCCATTTGTTTACCAACGGGAAGCTTCCAGCAACTTTCAAGTTTTGTGGTTCGAAATTAGTATTCGCATTGGAGATTATTTATGGCGAAGCATTCGAAAGAGAATAAAACTCATATTGATCCTGATATTGATAAACAATGAATACACGAATTAATTTAAATAATGAGTAGGTTGTATTGAATGTGGCTCCGGACGTCTTCATATTTAGTGGTATCGTACCATAATAATAATATCGGGGCGATTATTTAAATACGCATGATTTCGTTTTCATTTAGAATAACATAAACGTGTTTATGTCAAATTCCTATCCACTTTTCTTTTATTTAATTTTGTCTCACCTTATTAGTGTTTATAAATTAATTTTTTTACGAACAAAAAAACGATGCAAAATAATAATCATGTTATATTTTCCTGCATAAGATGATAAATCGTTTTCTCCACGCGTTTGCATGATCCCTTGCGATTCATTTTCGGTCGCAGTGACGGAAGTCTTCTTTGAGTACACGAAGATTACCTGTGGTTCCGAAAACTCCTTCGAGGACCCGTAGATTCTTTTGAGGATACGAAAATTCCTGTTCAGGATCTAAAGATTCATTTGAGAACCCGAAGATTCCTTTGTGGATTCAAAATTCCCTTGAGGTTTCAAAGATTCTTTTGAGTTCCAAAAATGTTTAAATAACCCTTTTAGAGACATGAGTATGCAAAACGCGTCCAACAATAAAATAAAACATTTCGACATCCTTTACAGGTTATGTTTACAATAAACTCAGTTTCCAACTTCATACTGACTCCGGACGGAAGACTTACCAAGAGATGAGTGTTTATCAAAGTGAACGACATTGTCAGTGAGTTAGTGAGTTGGTGCACGATGGAAGGTGTCAAACCGCGAGTTGAGCGGATCATGAGTGACGTCACGGACGCCGTCAGCGCGGCGTTGCTGCCGTCGCCTGTCCCGTCGCGGCGTCGATACTCCCTGGTGAACCTTCGGGACAGAGTACAACGTCTTTACCTCAGTCCGGGACCTCCCAGGAAGCACAACTCTGATACCATCAGCGAGTTGACTCTCATTGCAGGTGAACCATGTGGTTTGAACAATTGGTGTTTCGATATGTTGATTCGGGTTGATATTTTAATTGTTTGATAGATTTCGCTGTGTTCTTGCAGACACGAACACGGCTTTTCTAGGTTCTTAAATAAAAAGCATAGGCCTTCGTACATGTTAAACTGTTCAAGTAACATATTAGAAATTCCAAAATGATTGCTTATTTTGGTTGAATAAGACCACAACTCACAAGATGCAAAAATTAGCAACGTGAAGACAAGCATCAGACAATGTTTGCACAGTTTATGTAAAGAAAAAGAAGATGGAATGCTGGATTGGAACGACTGATGTATACATTTTATCTTAATACATTTTCAACATGAAACCAGACGTCCTCAGGGAGCTTCTCCGATTGCGTGATGATCATAAGTCTCATTTGATCGAGATTCCACTTTACCGGTGTTATTGGCTACCAGCACGCACCTTCTAGAGTTTGTTCTCGTGGAGTCTTTTACTGGGTATATTTTTGATAGTTTGTGGGATAAAATTCGGGTTTTTAGGTATAAAACCTCATACACTGTGTTTTTCATCTTTGGGGTTATATGTGTGGATTGGGCAAAAAATGTGAAGGCTCAATTCTTTTGCAGTTCTTCACATTTAAAAATGTACGTAACCCATCTATTTTTGATTATCCTACTAACGAAACAAAAAAACAATATGGATGGACATAAAGTAATTTGTCGATAATAAGTGACACAATTTTTGTTACCATTTTCTTTAGATAGTGACGACACAGGTTTGTATTTTGAGATGAATATTAATTAGGCGAGTGTAGAATAGAGCAGAGAATAGAGTAGAAGAAATCTGTGTAGCTTTGTTAATAAGATAAGTTGTTTCACGAATGAGTATTGAAAGCCCAATGATCAAGGACAACTGTCTCAGTGTAGAGTTATCATTTATCTACTGACATTTCTCAGGATTGATTTCCCACCTAGGAATGTGCCGCGAGGACTGGTGAAAATGAAATTATGAGGGGACAGGGAACGATTGCTGGGATATAAAGGGATTTAACGTGGGATATTTAGTCAAGTTAAGTGGCCCCACTGACCGCTACATTTATCCTGAGATTTAGGGTGTTTTGGCGTGTTTCCCTGTAGAAGCCATTACCTACCCTGGCGTGAGGCCAGAGGTTCCTCCCCTCAACCTCTTATCTACCTGTGACGTAGTATGACGTCATAAATAAGTCATTACACTGTTAAGATCGTCTAACTTCTCCATTATAACTGCTTGGTTGTTAAAAAGCGAATACTACATAAAAGAAAATGTTTACTACGAATCTTGCAATTTTGCAAAAAAAGTTGCAAGCGTGAGAAAAGTGCAATGGCCGTGACAAGTTGAGTAGCTTTGTTATACTCTGAGATCATCTGATTCTTTGCTGATGTAGTCGGTGCGTTGTAAGATAAGGTTAATCGTCTGCTAGCATACTGCGTATCTTCACGTTGTCATAGTGTAAGCATATCTTGTTTTAAATGATTTGTGATTATCATTCAACAAAGTTTCTTTCTCCGTCGTATTTTTTAACATCACTCATACCACCTAGAAACTGAAGTAGTCGTATCTGTGAAACAGCCGTGGTTTCTTTTTACAATAGTTGGCGACTGCCATATCATAAAGATGAAATACGTTATTCAAAGTTTATTTACTACCTTATTACCGGTTCTTCATCTTTTACTCCATGGGGGATTGTTGACGTTGTTATAAAAAAAACACTTTTAAAAACATTTTACTACGCATATTTACAAATTTGAATAAACATATAACACTGAGGCTGTGGACTGGCGTACTTAAGCTGAAAAGGTATTCAAGTACGTACTAGGTAAACACAGTTTTTTTATATGCTTCTAGTTTTCTAACATGTTTTATGTTGTAAATATCGTTAACATTGTAGACAACGCAAAGGAAAAGAAAACAGTAGAGGTTTCACGGAACGTCCTTGCGACACGCCAATGGTCGTAGATATGCTAATGTAGCGTAGCCTATATCGTAGTCGTAGTGTACATACATGACTAATGTAATACTGACCTATCGCTATCCTTGACTAACCTACTCGTATGTACTCTTGCTTTCACATTTGAATGCTTATGGGAAATAGACTTTTTATTAGTAAGAAATTTGAAACAGTTTGTGAACGAAAACTACACTGTTTTAATATGTTAGATGCTGCGTTGGATTAATATGGAATTTTATTACCTATGTTAATCAAGAAAACACCATGCAAATGGAAATCATGTAACAATTGGTTGGATTCTGTTAAATTTATAGCCGACTGACAGATACATTAAACGTCATTTTTTGTACTGCGCTTTAAAGATTTTGGAACACTATTGGAAACTGTAATAATTATTCTGCTACTAAATGTCAATTATGCCATTCTGGGGTTTTCAACCACCTACGGTTTTATCTAAGTGATAATGCCTTGATCCCTTTTAGACGTAGTCCGAATAAATTTGGAAAATGATTCCGTGTTAAAATCTACAGGAATAAAAATTATATGAGGATTTTTTGCACAAAAAGTACCATGAACCTTTTTGTCAGTTTAGTTTTTACAGGTCAACAAACATATGACTCCTATTGTCAGTGTATGTAGGTCTACCAGTTTATGATGCTACAGTCTATGGTCGGTCTCCGTCTCCACAACTAAGCTTCGCCCCTCTTTGTGTGCTAATCTCTGTCTGGTAGTTTTATAGCATCGTCAATCTCGCCACAGAGAAACGCCTCATGTGCGCAACAGTTGGAAAATAATACAATAATGATACAATTAGCCTAGTTTAATATTTTCAAAATAATAAGTCAAGGGGACTTCATAAACTGCATACTTATAGTTACAAAAGTGTAGTAATGTATTGGTAGGTACATAATTCATTTTTGAGGTTGACTACACAATTGTATTTTAGAATCTATGTCATTTTACACACATGATTCAATTTATTTCATAATATTAAACACTATGTGTTCAAACACTAAATATTCAATCGCGGATTTTGTGTGGACTCTTTCCAAACTTTTTAAAATCACCATTTAACTTGTAGTTAGGGGGGTGAACTGGTCATTTGTAAAGAGTGGGACTTCGGTCGTCATGCTGCCGGGTTCGAATCTTGCTTATCACAAACTGCTCTGTGATAATGCCACATAAAAAATTAACTTGTATTCAATATGATATGTGCATACAACTTTTTTATATGTTGTTGAAGGATTTTGCCTCTTAAAGTTCAAATGAGTCATAACACATTTACCTCAAATTTTTATGACGAGAACTTATAACTGTTAATGTAATAATATCTACTGAAAATCAAACCGTTGGAGATATTAACGATGGTTTATTTGGTTTCAGAGCCGGGACCAAGTGAGAGTGGAAGTGCAGTTACCACCAATTCTCCCGTGAACAAAAGAAGAGTTTTTAGCGGGTGAGTTTGCTTTTTTATCTCAATAAGATGTCACAAGTGTTCTGCAGAATGTATGTAGGTTAAAAATATAAATATACTATTGATCAAAAATATTTTATTTAAAAATTCCAAATTTAAACTATTGACATTGGTTTTGTTAAGCAATACTGGCATCCAGTTCTACAACTATTTATAAACACAGTAGATATTTCTTGTGATACAAAAACTGAAATGAAAAGATTGAACAGGAACAGTACTGATTATAAAAAATATGTTTATAGTTTGTTTTATTTAGGTTAAAAAATAAAACCCCTTATTGATTCTCTGTTGAATAAAAATAGTATAACCTTATTTTATATTTTGTCGGTTGGGAGAATTTATTTGAACGAAAATTATTAAATAAACATTTATTTCTTGGTTCGATCTTTAATTAAATTGAGAAAATATATGGTTTATTTTTTTGAATGGTTTCAAATAAATATGAGACAGAATTACAGAAAATATATTGTCAAATAACCTGGAAAATAACCCGGTTTTATTTGTCGCTAGAGTATTTAATATGATGTTTTTTATGAATCATAGTGCTACCAATGATTAATTAATGATTCATTGATCTATGCTTTGTTAACCATGCAGTAATTTCTGGGTCAGTATTTTGCATTTGTTTCATGGTGTGATTTTTAAATCAGTTTTTCTTGAATGTAGAAAGGCTTTTTTTAAATTTGTTAACCAAACTTAAAAAAATATGTAAGTTTACTCATAGTCAAATTAAAAACCTTTACATTCAGAGAGAGTTTTGAATTCATTGACTATTGGTCATTGAACGACATTTACGAAGTTGTTTGCAGTGTTTCTCAATGTTTTATTCGTGTTTGCCATTTACAAATCCATTTACTTATCTGTCAGATCTTGTCGATAAAGAGTAATAGTGATGTTAGGAAAACTGACACAGTTGTCAGTAGAGTTATGTCTTGTGCCGGACGATGCAATTTGTAAGTTTACAATAAGCATAAATATTTAATCAAAATTTTACCTTTGAATTTCATACTTATGATGTGAAGATCACAATATCTAGAGACTATCAATTTTCGTATAAACAAGAAGTTATTTAAACCTTCATAATATAGAATCAGGGCTTCTATAGGATGTTTTATTTTGATCTCTAGAATGTATCGAACCTAAAGTGAAATTCTACCTGGAGCTTCGTAGGGTAATTCTAAATAGTAGGTTTTGTAAATTAAATATTTTTCTTAGGCTGTATTTAAGTGTTGTAAGATTTCATATCTTCAATACCGTCTCCAATCATAACATAAGTGTATTGTTTGATACCTGTAAATTTCATCATCCAAGTTACTGTTTTTCACCCGATTGGGATTATAGCTATTTACATTACAAGTGTAGTAAAAGCGTTTTTACATCACGCAGGTGAATGTTGTGCAACGAGCGGAAGCGAGTTGCATAATTCACCTAAGAGATTCACACTCAAGAACTAAGAGAAAACGCTCTTGCGCAACGTGTAACGTACAAGATTTTACCTGACCCGACAATATACATGAGTTTACGTACAATATTTTTCATTATCCATTTCACTCATCGTCTAACAGTAACGTTCTTTTACAAACACAAGCTAGGTTAGGAAAATACTTTAAAGCATAACAATAACATTCAAGCGCACAGCTGATTTCTAGCGTTGAACTTCTATGCCTCCATAGAGGTATATTTTTTTAAGTTAAGCACTCAATTTTATTTAAATGGGTTTCATTACATCACCAAGTGAGTTTTTTTTCAACTTTACATCACTCGAGAAGTAAGGAAGTTGTATACATCACGCTTGGGATAGGGAAGTTTAACATGACGGGTTAGGTAAAATAATTTACATTTAACATGTACAAAAAATTGCCTACAAATTAACAGACAATCTTTAAATCCAATTTATTTTTAAATTTTTTGCCGGATTAAACAAAACTATAGACTAATTTCTTTTTGAAAATCCTTTTTCAATAAGGCCCCTACACTAAATGCTTCCTAACTAACTCTTATATTCTAAATCGGCGTTACTCTCAAGCCTGTGTGTTTGTTGCTATAACATACAAACTTGAATTCACAATCTATCTGACTTGAGGACCAACAATGATGTTGCATTTGGTGGGATCGTGATGTTTCAGCCTTGGTCTATCCCATATTAGGTTCCGTCTTTCACATTGTCATTCCTTCACAGATTTGTTCCTTATTAGGAACCTCTGTTTTGACCCACCATTGTTTTTATTCTTCTTCTCTTTGTCCTTTGACAGGTTTTCTCACAAAATATTTTGTCCCTTAGACTTTGTATATGGTGAAGTCAATTATTGAAATATTTAAAAGCGTTGAATGTTTTTCATCAGTATTTTGTTAATTGAATAACAGATTTTTGATAATTGATGGAAATTTTATATTTTTGTGGGATAGTTGTAAGTGTATACATATAATTACTATTTCCAAGTAATTAAAATCAAATCCTGTATTAAAATGTTTATTTTACATTTGTACATTTAATGGACTATGTTTTACATTATCATACTGTATATGCTGCAAAGCAATTTTTTAATCTGTAAAATCAATTATGCTAATTTTTGCTCATTTTTTAAACTTTTTTAGTGTTAAGCTCTTTTAGCTGTATGTATTTATTTTATAGTAAGCTACTAATATTTAACTAAAAAACCATACTTTATTAGCCTCCCTGCCCTGTAGCAGCAAACCTATGTAGGCTACTCGTTCAATTCGGGCAAATGGAAATTCTGCAATTCTGGAAATTCTGAATTATGGAAAGTTTGCTGCGGCGGGGGTATTTCTTTTAAAATTTATTACTGATATGTAACATTTTGATTTTTTTCAAATTTATTGATTATGAAACCCTATTCTGGCAGTATTTTGAAATACAGTTTAACTTTAACAATGTAAAAAATACTTCATTAAAGATTTATAGTAACAAAATAAAGAAAATGTATGGAGGTTTTGTCCTAAATATCAAAATAATTTACTAACCACTGGGTATTATAAAATTTAATCACTTTTAAAATCTCTTTGAAACATACAAATCACCACAAGTTAACAGTAAAACACAGAAATTTTGTCAAAGCTCACGAGGGTCTCTTTTATTTGGTTTTTAATGAAGAGTTTAAAACCCCTGGTATTTACTAATTACTTAATTGCTTAGAGTTCCCACAAAATAGATGACAACAAAAGGAGGAAAACATGTCAACCAAGGCTACAAGCATGACTTGACTGTACACTTAGCCACTTGGCTAGTTAACCAAGGATGAGTGGACTGTACTCTCACCAACCCTTCCCCTTAGTCTTTGCAATTAAGTAAAGCTTTATTCACTAACAAAATAGTGCCAGTTCTAATCTACATAGTCTAAAATATCAATGACTAAGGGGTCATAAACATATTAATAACAAAACTGTTTTGTCATTTTAACCCCCCCCCCCCTTGATTTACTTAACTCGCGTAGACTTCAATTACAGCTTAAGCATAATTTTACTTGTGGAATATGGATTTATATAAAACTTTAAACTTTCAATGTCTTTTGTTTAGTCAAAACAAAATTGATACAAACAAACAAGATTGTTACTAATAATTTAATAAAACAGCAACACAAATTATCCTAATGAAAACTTAACTAATTTAATATAATAAAAAATGTCAGATAAATGAATAAACAAACAACAGTTACATTGTTAAGGACCAAACAACAAAATAAAAGATTTATGAGCTTATAACATAACATAAAATTGAAGTAAAATCTGTTTTAGCTTGTCAACAACCTTATCAGGGGTAAGCAGTGGGAGTCTATAATATTTAGTGGGTAAATCACAAAAAATTTTCATCAAAAAGATAATTAAGTATCAAGAATTTTGATAGTAACACTCAATAAGGAACTTATTCATCTACGATCCATTTAAATGAGAAATTGCCATCGGCTGGTCCATTTAGTTGGGAACCCTACTTCGGTATCCCAAAGTACCAAGAGCATTCCATCTACAGACGTCGATTCAATAAATTGTTGTATAACATGTTTTCTGGATAGCATAACATTATGTTTTGTTTTCCAGGAGGAAATGGCTTCCCCCTCCCCTCCGAAAGCTCAGTGGGGGAAAAGTGGAGAAGAACACGGCTCCAGAACGAACTCCCCTCAAGAAGACACCTTCAGATAAAAGGATAAAGGTTGGTTGATTTGACGTAACCCAGCTGTTACTGATGCTTGGGGTAAATATTTATGCCTATGAAATAATGCTAGAATATTTACATACAAATTTTCTAAGGTACACTAATAGAAAGTGGTTTGTAGTGGTTAAGGAACTCTCCTGGTTATCAAAAGGCCATTGGTTCGATCCTGAGTAAAGTCTGTAGCGTTTTTATTATTCAAAAATGTTTTAAGCTGTCTTGGATCCATTGAACTTTTAATTAATGTTCCTGGCAAAGAATCAGCTGATTTTATCCAGTAGCAAAGTGCGTAGCATATTACTTCATTCTACACTCATCCTTTGCTCAGATAAATAACAATACTGTAATTATACAGTAGGACCACAATAACAAATCCCTCATGGGGATGATAAAATCAAAGTTATGGAAGTTGACTCCTTATCGATGTTTGCAATAACATGTTATCAAGAGTAGTATGAAATCAAGATTATTTGAAAATGACTCTTGTTAAAAAGGGCCTTATTATTGAGGTTCCACTGTATCAATTATTGTTTGGATGCTGTTGGTACTGTAGACCCATTGTTATTCCATACAATTACATAACTTATGAAAAGGATTGAGAATAATGAGATATTGTTGTGCAATACCTAAAAATATATCATTGCATTTTTCAACAAATTTTATATCATCTTACAAACCCCGAGATGCAGTTGAGTATTTTTAATAGTGACCAAAACAACTGAGGGATAAGTACTATTTTTTTCTTCTTTTTTTCAGAAACTTCACAATATTTTATATTTTTCTACATTTATCAATAAGAGGACACGTTTTTTGACTAAATTATCTCTATATCCATTATTTTTCTTATCTCAGAGAACCATGCTTGCCCCTTCAAAGAATTGTCTATCAACCCTGAAAAGGTGAATCTCAAATCGGCACCTTGCGTAGGAAAACTAAATGTTTTCATTAAACGACAAAATCGCAGAACGTGTGTGATATTTGACCACTCGACTCTCTGTGAGGTGATTATAACAATAAACAGAGCTGGATTTAGTTCAGATCGTCACCCGAAGCGTTGCCAAGGTTTCATTACTGACCCTCACAAAAGCCAACATTCTTATCTGACGACAGCTGATATTTTCCGTCTCTGTCGTTCTTTTTGGCCATACCTTAAGGCTTATTTCGGTTTGAATGAAAAATTATCGTTTAAAATTAAACAAGTGTTTCAAGAGTAAGAGCTTGTTTTATTTCTGTTTTTTTTTATGAGTTGTTACTGTATTTTTTGTGGTTGAATTATTAGTTCTGGTGTACAGTAGTTTGAAAGTACTTTTGTAAGACAGTTTGACATGTATAAGGTTTGATTGTGTCTGGTGAGGCAAACCTAGTCGTTTGCTGAAGTACTTTCTTTGACTTTATGACCTGGGTTCGAATCCTACTTAATCAATAGCTTTTACTTTTACCCATTTTATAATGTCACAACTTTTTGGTTAGGGATTCACATTCAGCATTATGTCCCTCTGATGCTATGTCGTGAAAGTAAAACCGTCTCTTTACTCTAAAAATCTATGAGATTGCTTGCTTTATCTTGTAAAACGTTTTTCTTTCTCAAATTTCAAGATTTTCTAAACCACAATTCTTAACTGAAGAGTTGATAAAAAATAAATTAGGCTACTCAATGCTTTGTTAAGCATCTCATACAACTGAAATGTATAGCAAATATTTCTGAGATAAACTTTGTAATGTTTTTTTTATACATTGAAAATACTAGAAATATTTTACATTACACATCAGTAATAAATACTGTAAAGTTTTTCTCTATAAGTTAATTATTTAAAAATATTTACATATTAACAGCTATATAGAGACTAAACAAGGTGTTATAGAGTGAAGTGTGAGTGAAGCGTAGGGTCATATTGGTGTCATAACCGGAGTTTGACACATGAATTAGACATTGACGGTGGCAGTGGCGGGGCTGCATGGATGATCAACCAATCTCTCTCCCTCGGTCCCCCCGCCCCCCCCCCCCTCCGTCCTACTTTCAGTCATGTTTTATGTACTTGCCAGAATTGACGTTGATGTTACCTTATTCACACTATAAGTTTACGGTAAACAATTTTGGTAGATTATTTGGTCACTATAAAGAGCTATTGCCTGCTAATCGATATTACCGAACCGATCCATAATTGACATTTCAATCTGTGTAAGTCTTATGGTTAACACTTTTGCAAGATTATTTCCTACTATAAGGTTTTATTGCTTGCTATTCGATACCAGCCAAAATTGGCATTCATGTTTCCTTACTTAATCTATACGTTTTACGGTTAACACTTCTGTGACATTATTTGGTCTCTATCAAGTTTTATTGCTTGCTAATCGATAGCACCGATACACTTCCTGGCGATTTAAGGTGTAATCTGTTATCAATGAAGTGGGCCAAGGACCTTTTGTGGTCTGCTTTGATTATAACTGTGGTAGTTCCATTCGGTTCTTAATAGTGTGATTGTGCTAGCATATGTTGATAACATCACGGTTTTTTGTGTTTTGATGGGTAAATATACAAATTGTTCTGATTTAGCTTTTCTGCTGAGAAAGTAGTTCTTGTAACATATGTATTTACGAGGATTTTAGCTCACGTCAAATTATTGTGGGTTATGGGAAATCCTACTTTAATTATGTTAATTTAGAAAATTGCTACATTTTCATCAAATTACTTTCCGGTGAATTTTTACATCTCCTTAGTTCAAACTTTAATAACCAACTTTGTATGCCAAATAATTATCTTATTTATTCTAAGTGTATTCTTTTATTTATAAAATGTATTTTAAGTTAGTTGTAAACCATACGTAATTTAAGAAAACCATTCCTACACTTCAATAGATGCAAACTTATAAATCTTACATAAAGCCCCCAAAGTGACAAGTAAATACAATAGAACATTTTTATATACAGTATATATAACTCTACCAAATCCAACCCATCCCTCATATTAAATGACCGAAGAAACTTCGCCTTTAACATCATATTTGATTCATTAATTAAAATAAGAAATAAATAATACAATAAAATATTATCAAACACCTGTCTGCAAAAATAACTCTATGGAGTGATAAGACCATGCTGCTACAAGTAAAAGTCATAACATCCCAACTTCGGAGGTTAGAATTGATCAAGAAAATCATAGCCATGTATCTAAGTTGTTTTCATTTATGTCCTTGTAAATATTTATATGTGATCATTGTTTGCAAAAATTATACTAGATCAACAATATTTCAAGTAAGAGATGGAAAAGTGTAAAGTTTAGCTAGCCTATGAGACAAAAGGACTGACGATAACGTTTCGACATTGAAATCTAGGTCTCCACTCTAAAATAAATTGTATCGTAAGGTAACCTTAGATTTAACCATGTTCTTATTTTCAAAACTGTCTTCAACATTAACATGAAATGAAATAGCCAGTTTACCCACAGTCAAAGGTTGTATTTTGCTCTTTAAATTATAAGTGAGTTAACCGTTTGGATGTTTCAGTCGCCGGCAGGTGAGATGGGTAACAAGCAAGGAGGCTCGGTAGGAGTCGGGCTGGAGGAGGAGAGTGGAAGGGACCAGAATGGGGAGGAGGGAGAGGAAGAAGTAGAGTTGCCGCCACCGATGAAACCCATCAACGAACCCATCCTGGTACCCTCGGACGAGTCCCAAGGCCAGCGAGTAAGTATCAACAACAATCCTTGATATTTACCATTAGTAGTACGGGTTGGCGAAAAACTACTTAGATGACATGAGGTTATATCATATTTAAACAATTCATGAATCGTAAATAGCTCTAACATTAAAGGCGAAAGGCTGCCCCCACTAATTGCCGCTAATGCTCTCGTATAGCTTCGCAGTGTGGTTATAGATTTTTTTTCTCTCCGGTTTCACATATTATCAAACGAAGCCTATTCCACAGATTTTTTCCTTACCTTTGTAGTATTGTCACATGAAACTCAACTTATTGCCAAATGTATATGTTGCTGAAAATTCCATCGGAAGGTGCATTTGATGCTGGATGAAAAACATTCATACACTTGGAGCCAACATATGAAGATAACACTGCCAATCATAATGATCCTATATTTTCATTAAAATTTGTAATTGTACTAATCCTGTTTTTTCAATTCTCATAATCCAAACTGTACTAAACCAACCTAACCTAAACACCGCAGGAGCCTAAAAGAATGGCGGGTGTTATGCTACTTGAAAAGACCTATAACGGATTATCAATATTTTTATCGATTGAAATATTTCAATCGATAATATTTCATTTAATATTATATCGTTGGTTCTCTGCGGATTTGTACCCCATGTAAACACAAGTTTACCCACCCTGAAGCGTTCTAACGTTTGCTGCTCGGAAGCTCAGAATTAACATTTGTATTCTGATTACAAAATTTTCCCTGCGGTACCAACACTTTGCTAATTACAGTACTCTACAGCCTCAATGAAGAAAGACAAAGCTTGGCAATAAATTGAATCTGTGATTTTAAACTTTTATGAAACTGGGATGAGTCAGGAACAACGATTTGTTTCAGTCTTCAAACCTGTCATTGGAAGGTGCAACTTCGGCAGATCTGGCTGAGATTGAACAAATCGTCAAAGAGAGAATGGTGAACTTAAAAGAAATCTGGCATGTTGTGTGTTTAATGGAATGGACTAATTTTTGTTCTTATTTAGTTTATTTTCACCCAAAGCATTGCCTCCTCAACGGAATGGACCTGTAGTGTAAAACATTAAATCATGCACTTTGGTTGTAATTTAATTTTCTTTATATTCTTTTATATTTCTTTAGTTCGATATTTGTTCACACTTTTAGATTGTAGACTAAAGTATTTGTAGTTCTGTTTTACTTTAATATTTCCTTGTTATTTTTTAGAGTGATTTGTGCCTGTAACACAGTGTGTGTATTATTTTAATAGATATTTCTGAGTAGTTATTGCAAGTTGAACCTTATGCAACCCTTTTTATTTATTATTTATTTATTAACTTGGTACAGGACATATACAATGAATTTTCCAATTTTGTTTGATGTAGGATGTATACCTTGTTAAATTTTCTAACTCGTTACTTAATGTGGAAGAGTTATGAATGTAAAAATGGATTTGGTAATTTTTTTAGATTTCGAACTGTTAACAAACGATTTCTGCAACTCAAAAAATTAGTTTGGGAACACCTTTCATCCAATACCAAACGGTATTTAAATAATTATCCTACTTTTACTAAACAAAAACAATACAATTCATGTATAAAAGTAATTGACGTACAACTATTCATGTTTCTAACAATTTATGAACTCTCTGTTAAAGTTCATCCGCTGTATTGTTTTAATCATTTTCTATCACAAAAAAGAAAGAAACAATATTTTTCTCATCAGAATCTGGGATCCAACAATCTTTTCCGATGATTTTTCAGCTAGAATTGTTAAAAAATGTGACTAAAACTGAATATTTTCCTAGGAGCAACATAGCGAGAAGCAGTCAAAGTTGTCAGTTTCCGATGGAGGGGAGGGGGAAGAAGAGTCGGCGCTACAGAAGCGAGAGTATGTGATACGCGAGCTGGTGGAGACGGAGCGAGACTACGTACGTGACCTGCGCATGGTGGTGGATGGCTACATAGCGCTCATGCGCGACCCTGACTGTGATATACCCTTGCCTGAGGACCTTAGAGGAGGCAAGGACAAGATGGTGTTCGGAAACCTAGAGGCTATCTACGAGTGGCATAGAGAGTGAGTTGTTTATTAAACAAAAGTGTTGTGGTAGATCAAATTGTGAAATTGAATATCTCCTCCGAACAACGTTGCAAACGACAATTTTTGTGAAATTGACATTTTTATAGATCAACAATGCAAATGACATTCTCTACTGCATGGGATATTTCATTTTTTAAATACATAAGGTTGGCAGCACAAGCGACTGAATTTCCGAGTAACTGGCTGTTTTGGCATTGGTGCTGCCATTTTGTGTTTTCTGAAAATATTCACATGCAATGTTGTTCGGCATGAATACTCAATTAGTGAATGAACACATTTATCTTTTGAGAATGTAGATTAATAATTGGCTTTTACTGTGGGTTCTCCAGTACAGATAAAGTATAATCCTTGTCTGAGAGACTTGTTCTTAACTGTGTTTTATCTCATGATGGGTTAGCCTCTGGATCAAGATAATGCAAATATAAAAGGTTTAATTTACCTGTTGCGTCAATTGATCCTTAAGTTATGAAATAACTACGGCCATTTCGTACTGCTAAACGAGTACATCTTCAGGTTGTCTATGAACGTTAAAATACGGCCTTCTCATCCATGGATGGAGTATTTTAACGTTCATAGACAACCTGAAGATGTACTCGTTTAGCAGTACGAAACAGCCGTAGTTATTTCATAACTTAAGCATCAATTTACGCAACAGGTAAATTAAACCTTTTATATTTGTGTTTTATCACTTAAGAACAAATAATAATTGGAATGATTTATTGCTTTCAGAAGTTCCCCAACGTGAGAAAATCACATTTTGGCCACATTTTGTCTTAAATTAACTGCTTTTCATTAACCACTACAAAATGTGTATCCTTTATCGCAAATCTAACTCCACCATTTTCTCTGGAATCTTTCATGTTTCTGACTCTTCTGAATGTTTCAGTTCCTTCCTGAAAGGGCTGGAGCGTTGTATTCAGTATCCTGAAGAGCTCGGGCCTCTGTTCAAGAGGTATGAGAGGAAACTTCTGATGTACGTCGTCTACTGTCAGAACAAACCTGTGTCCGAGTACATCGTCTCAGAGTACATCGACACCTACTTTGAGGTTAGCTGCATTGCCTCGCTTCATCATTTATTGGTTTCCTTAGATTTAAAGTTAATTTTTATAGTAGACCTAATTACGCCAGCAATATGGATTTCAGCAGCAACAATTGTGCTGATTTTTATCTTAACCCAGGTTGCGCCTAGAGTTTGCGGCATTATCACTCAGATAAACTCCATTGGTGAGTGGCAGAATTTGAACCCGGTACCTCTAGGACTGAAGTCCCGCGCTCAACCAGTAGACCAGCTAGGGGGGCCCTTAAAAACCGTAGTCAGGGGTGAATTTTCAAAAGTCTCCATAGGCCCTCTCGTATAGGTGCGCCAAGATGAGTGGCAAAAAAACTTATTATGTTTTTTTTAACTTAAATATTTTCTCACATTAAAAGTAAAAAAAAGAGACTGTGAGTCAACTTTGTTATCAATGAATTTCCTTAGTTATTTTAGCAATGCGTTTTTTTGGAATTTTATTTGATTCAATTCACAGTTTGGTTATTACAAAACAAATTTCTATAGACTAACAAACTTTTATTGGTTTTTAGTTATTAAATCAACTTTGTAATTTTTGATGATTCTCTAGGGGAAAATTTAGATCTTTAAAATTAGTTTTACACTATTTTAATTTGTTGTATGGATAGTTTATTATTCATAGATTTTAGCTGCATTTTGTTGTATATTATTCATTGTATAATGAGTATTAATTGGTTCAGACTTATTTTAATTTCTTGTTGTTCCTTTAATTTTCCAATACTCAAATTTATAAACAACAATTTACTCACTATTTTAATTTACTTTACTGATATTACTTTGGTGAAAAATAGATTCGGGAAAAAACCACCGGTTCCTAAGAGTACATAAAATCTAACTGACCATCATCAACAGCACAGTGTGGAAAGACGAAAGACGTCTAAACATGTTATATCTTGCAGGAGCTGAGACAAAAGCTGGGTCACAAACTACAGCTGTGCGACCTGCTGATCAAACCCGTCCAGAGGATAATGAAGTACCAGCTGTTACTGAGGGATTTGTACAAATACACTGAGAGAGCTCACCTCACTACGGAGATGGAAACTTTACGACAGGCGACCCACGTCATGCAGGTCGTGCCCAAGGCAGCCAACGACATGATGGACGTCGGTCGGCTGCAAGGCTTCGACGTAAGTCCTAGTGTGTCTTGGTCCATACTTGATTGTTTATGGTGAATTAGAAAATTCACAACCTTTTAAAATTTTAATATTTGCATATAAAGGACAGCCAAGTTGTTGATAAAAAGATTTTTGAAACACAGATTCATTTGAATTTCAGTGAGTGGATTTACTCCTTGAATAAGTCTCTCAGGAATGTTTATATTAGGACAAAACAACAGTGTTATTCTTTGTGATCCTCGTATCTATTAGTTCTTGGACTCTAATTTTCTCTTTGAAACTAAACTTTGTCCTTTTTCATCAAACTCCTCATCAAAGATTAGATTTTTTTCAAAGAAACAAAATTTCTCAAATTTTTAATTAAATAGTTCAGCTAGCGTAGGCCTACTTAAAGTACATTTTTAATTTTAACTGACATAAATGTCTTAAATGTCTTTAAATAATGTCTTTCTCTTTAAATTACCTAATGAAGAATTCCTATATTATGTAAAAATATCAGTGTCAAATGTTCTGATATTTTATTGTGTATCAATTAGCCTCTAACTAATTTTTTTCAGTTAAGCTGGCTGAACTCTTATCTCCTTCTATTACATATTTATTTCCAGAATAAATGTTTATCCTGTTACCTAACTATGTTTGTTTCTCCAGGGAAAGATCACGGCCCAGGGCAAGTTGCTGCTGCACGGGCCACTGGTTTGTTGTGAAGGGACGTCAGCCGCCAGTTTCAAGGGCAAGGACCTTGTAGTGTTCCTGTTTGAACAGAACATCATATTCAGCGAGGCTGTCGGCAAGAAAACTCAGTTCACCAACCCTGTATATATCTACAAAAACCACATTCAGGTAATATTGATAGCTTTCAATAGTTTGGTTGGACTTAGCTGCCCTCGTTGAGATTTTGGTGATCCTGGCTAATCAGCTGATTATCAAAAAAGCTACACAGATAATCTACTCCATTATACAATTGACCTGTATTCATATTTAGCTTTGAAATGTATGGATATTGTAAAGATTTAAGGGACACATGAAAGTTTTATATTACGAGGGCTGTCCTCAAATTAAGGTTGTCATCGAGCTTCCGTCGTAACCAAGCAAGCTAGTCCGAATCTGAGATGAAGGCCGTATTCCTTACTGCATCCACTACTCTCTAAGCTGATTCCCTCTTCTATGGGACGATTAGTCTGATCTTAGTTCGTAAAAAAGGCCATAAAAGAAAATGATGCTCTGCCAAGTATGAATTCTGTACCGTGGTTAGATTTCTGTACAAAAGAGGTCAATCCCCTGACTCCTGTTGCCAGTTGACAGATGTGTGTGCAGAAAAGTGTTTGATGCTGAAAATGTGCAATATTGACTTGTAAAGTATGCAGCAGCCTGTACATATTTGCACAACAGGGCTGGCTGGGTGATAATCAGTTTCCATCGTAGCAGTGGTTGAATTCAACAGAAACTAATTAGATAAACATGGCTTTAGAATTTGTTCAGGAGAAAGTAAGGATACACAATGAACTCGCCTGTAGAATCCCAAAGGTTAAAAAGAACACAAAAGGAACACAATTTATCTGATATTTCGCTTATATGGGCTTCTTCAGAGGTAGAATGGCAGTTACAGTTCTACCACTGTTTCAAATGTCTGTCAGGCTTGCCAACACTTAACTTCAGTACCCTAAATCACAATATTTAGATACACAGAAATTTAATCGCAGAACTCGAATTGTACTCAGTGGGAACATCAACTTTTTATCAAGCCCTTTTTCACACTACAACCAAACTATTCATCCAAATACCCCCGCCGCAGCAAACCTGACGCCTAAGCGAATTTCCATTTGGCCGAATTGATTTTCAATTGATCTATTTAAATAACATTAGGTTTAACGAGTACCTAGGTTTGCTGCTACAAGGAAACTAATAAAGAGTGTGTTTTAAGTAAAATAATTATTGCTTAGTATAAAATGAATATATTTGCCAAGTTTGATCAAAAGATATCCATAAACAAGCAAACTACAACATTTTACAATATTCTCCATAAGAATAACATGGGAATTTTAAATTTACCATTTTTTTAGTTTTCTCCGTAACCAATAACCGTACAAAAACACTTTGATATACTGAATTGTTTGTTTTTTTAAGCTCTTTAAGAAGGTTTAGAGAAAAATTGGGAAATTTTGTGTTTTGAGGGTCAAAAGTGAGAAAAACCAATTTTTACCCCATAAAACCCCCCATAAAACCCTGTTCCCATGGTCCGATCATGCTGGATCGCGAACTCATTCAAGTTTATCCCGCCTTACACCTTCAAACCAAATTTCATCAAAATCGGATAAAAATTACTCAAGTTATCGTGTTCACGGACACATATATATATATATATATATATACATATATATAAATTTAAACGAGTGGTGTTTTTTGCCTCTGGGGACATCAAAATGAAAAAGTAAATCGGTCCCGGGCCTAAGTCTTACCATGAGACCTACGGTAATAGCTACTTCCCTATAGGGAAATTCGCTAAAAGGGTGAGAACAGGTTAGTATTTGTAGCGGTCCCATGAGTGTAGGCGAGTCGTCTCGCTGACGTCACCCCTACACTCATGAGTGACACACACACACACACAGACTCCGCTTGTTGTAGCGGTGACGCTACATATTGTATTGGATGAAGTAAGGAACACAACCTTGGTCTTAGGTTTAAACTAACATTCGGCGGAGACCTCTTAATTTATGGACAACCCTTGTAAATTTGATATTTAAGATGTCGACACGTATTAGTCAGCAATTGGGAGATGTGAGTGTTGAATAGGTAATATATTAGTTTTAATAATCATCTGGTTTTCTAACTGGAATCATTCAAACACATTTGTTTGTGTTGGTATCACATAGATCTAACAAATCATGCCATCAAATATAACATACTTGGTCTGATGATGCCTGGTTATAAAATATTAATGTCTTTTAATTTTTTCAGGTGAACAAAATGAGTTTGGACGAGAAGGTAGAGGGTCGGGAAGAAAGGGAGAGGGAAAAGGACTGCAGCGTGGAGCCGTTCTGTGTGCGAAGTACGGACCCGCGCAAGCCGTCGTTGGCGTACGTCTGTCAACCACCGACAGGCGAGTCGCGCGCCGAGTGGCTACACAACTTGCGCACGATACTGCAGACGCAACGTGACTTCCTCAAGGCCATACAGTCGCCAATCGCGTATCAGAAGGAGCTCGGTCGAGACCCTTTGTAAGTCCATAGCTGTAACTGGCATGGTTCATTAAGTGGTAACAAAATAACACAATAACAACGTGATATGATCTTTCTTTTTCATTTCATGGTAATCTGATCATTCATGGTTTTCAATTTTAGATTTTAAAAGTTTATTAATCATATTACATGAGACTAACAGAAAATTTTTAATAAATTCAATGTTAAAATTTAATTTTTTTACATTGATACTAGTAATTAAGTTTATTTCAAAGTATTAATTGAAATCAAATTACTCAAAGTCTAATCGTTATGTGAACAATTTGAAATCAAACTATTTACATGAATCCCACTGTCCAAGACAAAGAACCATGCCAAACACAATTCTAGTCATCCCTCAACATATTTAGATAGTAGCATTTTTAACTTAGTTTTAAATAATCACATAAATTATTGAAAGTGACCAAAATATTTTGATATAAGATGCACTAATGTTTGGAGGTTGTATGTTAGCTATAAGTATGTTGGATATAACTATTGTATTTACCGTTTAAAACATTTTGTACAGTAAGTTAGTGTATATTGTTTCATTTGTAATATCGGTTTTTTTGTACAGATTTTGTTTACATTTGTAGATCTTATTGGGAACTGTATAATAGGACTGTACCTTGTTTATATGTAAGAACGTTGAATGTATATTGATTGACGATTGACATGTATTGTGCATTATCTATTAGTTTTGTTTATGGCTTTAACAGTTTTAACGTATAGCCTATGTTATATTCAATATTGAAAAGGCTTGGAAAATATTTAACAAAACATTGTTAGTTTTTACGAACTGATGTCTAACTTAACTTTGTTTCAAACAGTACTTCTGCAGTATACTTATTTGTCAGATATGGTTAATTTACACATTTAAAACACAATGCGAGTGAACTATATTTAGATAATAAAATGCATTTACCAAGCTTTCATATTTCCCTGAGTGTTTAAATTTTTTGTTACCAAAATTAATTGCAATATCAACTTGAAAACTGCCATTTTTCAGAGAATAGTTTATGGCCATTTAATTTTATCACAATAGTTCTATGTTATATTATGTTCCCACGATTTTAAAGACTGGTATCAACTGTGGAAATTTACTTTACAAATAAAATTGAGTAACCATGATTAAATAGTTTTTGTAATTTTTTATTTTATTTTTTATCCAACTACGCTGATCAGTATTAATAATTATCTCACAATTTAAAACCTTTATGCATCCTTTAGTTTGTAATTAATTAATTAATTAATTCTATGTTTATCTTGAAATAATCATTTCAACTGAGATCAGAGTACAGTATTATAATTACATGATCAAGATATATTCGGAACAAGAAGTTTGTGAAAGTATAAGAAAATATTTTTGTCCTCGGTGATTTTTTTTCGAAGGAGCTTTATAAACATTAAAATTTGTGTGATATTCCATTGTACCAATAAACGGGTAAACTTTTTCAATAAGTCTGTATATAATATCACTATGTAGGTAGATAAAGCATCAGTGCGAGCATAAAATATAAAAATATTTAACCCAATATGATTAACAATTGTTTTAAAATACCCCATTTTATAAAATTTAGTATTGATTTATTGAAACTCATTTCAGTGGATGGGTGGATTTGTTATAAATGCTGCTGATAATATTAGCATAAACCTATTTAAAAAAAAATTGGAATTAACAATTAACTACTCCATTTAGTGCATCGGTTTTTAAACTGAACAAAAAATTAATTCTTATCTAAAGCTTGGAGCAACAATGAGTATTTGGCTGACTTAACTCACAATCACATTTTAACAAAATTAAAAAACTAACAAAATAATTTTAAAAATGCTTCAAACCATTTTGTATCCACTTGTTCACTGACTGGTGTAAAATTTAAAGCATATGTTAATTACCCCCGCTGTATTGTAGTCCTAGTAGAGATCCGCTTACGTTGCAGGCAATCACGGGTTGTGTTTGTTTGCCAAGTGATATACTGTAAATAGCTCTCTGTATGTTTGTATATAAATAAATATGCTAAGAGTTTTTCAATAAATGTTGTTTTACTCGTTCCTTGACGATCATTGATATAATACGGACTGGAGTGAACTAATTAATTGTCATTGATATTACTTGCTGGAATGTAGCGCTGGTAGATTTCCTTGATTGTTTAGTTTGCTAGTTTTATAGAATTAGTAATGTTCCTATTTATCAATAGCCATCTAATGCTCATGAAGTACATATTTTCCATACATTTTTGTCATTGAAAATCAATTTTTTCAACTATACAAAGTATACAGCTTAGTAGGTAGGTAGTGTTGATTTTGCGAATACTTCTCAATTGTCCACTCCAATCCGTATATTCTCAATGCTATGAATTTCCACAACAGTTTTGTTTAGGAGTATCGGTTAGTTTTCTTTTTACCGTAAATTATTAGGTGTATTTTTGTTTCACTTTTTGTTTTGTGTGTGTGCAGTTCTCTCAGCCCCCCGATGCGTCCCCCGAGCCCCCCCTCCCTGGACGAGTGTCCCGTCATTGTCAGCGAACCTCTCTCGTCCAAAACAAAACACCAAAGCAACTTTCTGGAGGGCTTTCGCAACACGCTGAGGCGTGCAAAGAGCGAAGCACCTGAAGTTGAAAGTAACTTTAGTCTGGCCAGGCGATGGTCCGATGCGCACTCGGTAAGAGCATCTCTCAGCATGCGCAGTCGAATCAGCCACCTAAACAGTGCTTAGAACAGTCGGATAGTTTGAAAAATAATTGTAGATTTTAAATATCCCTCCTTGTTTGTAGATATTTTCATAAAACGAGTCTAATGTTGAAAGCTTTTTTATACAAACTGGACCTTTTAAAACCCTTGTGCCTAGTATATCACCTGTAACTTGCTCAGTAGTAAAAATATTTGAAAGCTTTCACTAGAATTTCAAGCATTGATCCTATGATTACGTAATAAGAAATGTATTTTATCAGCTGAAACGCTAAAATCCAGGTTTTTTTTGGTAGATTGAAATAAAATTTGACTCGTAGTTGATGGTGGCTGATGTTGACTAGGTGACGGCTAACCTCCGTATTACTAACAACCAGTAACAGCATCGTAGACTCTTCTATATTCTGTAAACTGCAAGTCGCTACTTACATAATTGTATGCTGCATTTTCTTGTATATTCCAACGTATAGTTCTTACTGAGTAATTTTATTGTCCTTAACCATTGTACTTGGCAACATTGGGCATCTGACAAAATAAGTCATGAACAATTTTTGAAATGGAATCCTGCACGAACAAAATTATTACTGTGAGTTTGTTCTTTAACCCTTAAAGGTGTCTTGTTAGCGTGTTAAGCTACGTCATGAGTAACTTAACAAGACCTTAACTTCTAACTATTCTAAGAGTTTGTTAGTTCAGCACAACAAAAACAGTTAAAAAGTATGCGTTACTTGTGCTGCTATCTTGAAACTAGCTTCGAACTACTCGAGGGTGTTAGGTTGACATTGTCAGTACGGTAGACCGTTAGATCTCATCATAGGCTGAGCAGTCTAAGGCATTGTATTCCAGACCGAAGAGAGCACTGTTGATTGATGTTTCGAATCATGTGAGCTACCAGCAAGAAGCAAACCTACTATTGTTTGACGCCTCAGGTGGAATGTCACAGGAACGGTGGATTCTGTGTCAATCACACTCCTCGTAAGAGTTTTGCAACTCTATGCTAATCATTTGTGTTTCCACCGTAAACTTGTCTATAAGACAAAATATTTTTAGGTTAAAAAGGTAGGACAAATATTAAATTTGCTTGAATGAATCAATTAATAATGCACGGTGTTCAAAGAGTTAGACAAAATAGACAGTACAATTATACAAATGTTAAACTACCTTCCTCTAAATAATAGTATATTGCGTTACAAGTACCGTAAACAGCATTTTCCTGTGCACTTTTATGTGTATATGTGAGAGTTATTTTCACAAATGAGTCAAAGCTGAGGATGGGAATGGTTAGAGCAAGAGCCAGAAAATCATTTTGGTACAAGTTATGAATGACACATTTCATCAGGACACAAAATTACATACAGAATAACAGAGAGTAAAATTAAAACTAGTATATTTCCTAATTCAAATTATTTTAAAAACAAAAAGCAAACCTACATAACAATGTGAACGGTAGAAGTTCAAGGTCAAGTTTATTTTGTAGTAAACACACACACACACAAGCTGTATCTACAAAAAGAGAGCTAAGCTAGCTTCTTTTGCTGTTTACATTTTCTAGAGCAAGGGTAAATCAACCGATAATTTTTCTCTTGCTCTAAATGTCTAAATTAGTTCTTGGGAAACAATTTGCGTTATTCAACAGTTTTTACAGTAGATTATCCTCTGCATTCTCATCCTGTTGCAAAGCACAGATAGAGCAAACTAGTTATGATAAATATGTAACCTAACTAAAAATGTTTTATTTGTTTTTATAGTGAATTGCTCACGTTATTAAGAAAAAAATCATCTATTCTATATACCCTTGGCTTAAAGCGAGATCAGTTAAGAAAACATTTTATTTATTTAATAATCTGGTTTAGTTTTATATTGCTCGTTGTAATAGAGATGGGCAGATATAATCACAGAAAGTAAATAAAAGATACGTCTTATAACACTTAAAACATATACAGTGTGTAAATTAAGTATTGAAACAAATCTGTATTTTTAAAACCGAAATAGATAGAAATATTTTGTTTGTGGAAATAATTGTTAACACAGGTTCCACAACTTTTTACATCAAAAATATTTCTTAAACCCCCTAACAGGGTAGGGGTTGGGGGTGACTCATTTTTTCAAATAGCAACCCCTATTGAGTGACCCCTCATTTTGAAGGATTTGTCAAAAGAAACACAATGAAGCAAACCCGAGGGTGATATCTCACCCCTAGCCAAAATGGCAGGTATTCCAAAATTTTATTGACTGTATGTGAAAAGGCACCAATTTCACAAATAATGGAAAGAAATCTGTATTTTTAAACCGAAATAGATAGAAATATTCTGTTTGTAGAATTGATTGTTAACATAGGTTCTGCAATTTTTTACATCAACAGTATTATTTCAACCACTTTAACAGGGTAAGGGGTAGGGGTGACTTATTTTTTCCAATAACAACCCCTATTGAGTGACCCCCTCATTTTAAAGGGTTTGTTAAAAGAAAATCAATGACGCAAACCCGAGGTAGATATTTCACCCCTAGCATAGCGCTAATCCTAAATGGCGGGTATTCCAAATTTTATTTTTGTAAAAAGCACCCATTTTGGAATATCCGCCACTTTGGCTAGGGGTGAGACATTCACCTCGGATTTGCGTCATTGTGTTTCTTTTGACAAACCCTTCAAAATGAGGGGTCACTCAATAGGGGTTGCTTTTTGAGAAAAATAAGTCACTCCCTACCCCCTACCCTGTTAGGGGGTTTAAAAAATATGTTTGATGTAAAAAATTGCGGAACCTTTGTTAACAATTATTGCCACAAACAGAATATTTCTATCTATTTCGGTTTTAACAATACAGATTTGTTTCAATACTTAATTTACACACTGTATTTACGCTTATACTGTTACTCACAAGTCGGTAAATATACAAAAAAGATGGTTGGTGATCGATTTCGATTGGACACTCCAATTATCATCAGACCCAATAGGCGAATGACCCTAGAGGAAGGAAAGGAGTCACAAGACGAAATTAAGGTATATTAACCTCTTATTATATGTTAAGTGACTCGAGACTATAACAAATTAACTTATGAAAAACCCACAAAACATATCTCTGACAGAAAGAATAAAGCATTTCTCACATTGTCATGAAACTTTTACTTCTTGGCTCTTGAGCACTGTTTTGTGTCTCTAGGTGATTAAAAGGTTTCCCCTGGGATTTTTTTTCTTCTTGTAGCTTATAACAATATTATGTAAGAATACCGGTACCAATAAACCAACATATTCTTTTTTAACTAACATCAGGTTTTTCCAATAGGAGGGTCGCCTTTACTTAACTTTTCCCTATGCAAATTGTATAGGATTTTTGACGGTTCTTTAAATGAGTGTTGTCCATGTCATACACGCACATAGTAAACAAAAATTCATCTTTATATACTCTTAGTAAGGGAACGACTCAACCTAACCTATCTTCTCATCCTCCAGTATGCTGTGGTTGACGTGTTTTGACTTAGAGCCAACTCCTTCCCGACTGAACATAGCCTTATCTAACCTAACTTAACCTACTTTCACCTACATAGGGCAAATTTTACTTGTGGCGGCCCTCTTGGAAAGACCCCTAACATCTTTCTACATGCATGAATGTAAGCATATGGTAGTAACGCCTGTTGTTCGTACAGCCTAGTCAGTAATCAACGTGCATGCGGTTCCTCAACTCTGTGATAGACAATGGATGTGAATGATTAGTGCGACGGTGGAAGTGACTTAGTGCGCGTGGTCGATCGGCAGACTGTGCTAGTGCGAAGCGACGACGCCACACTGCAGCTGTGCGACCACGAGACTGGCCAGTGGCGGACGACAGAGACACTGCACAGCCCCGACGGACGAGTTGTGACTGGTCTGAGCGCTGGTCACACCTACAGCTTCAGACTGGGCGACAGATGTGCTTGTGTCACCATTCCACATGAGACTAGGTGGCAGCAGGAGCAGTTCGAACGGAGATACCAGCAGCTACACGTTATTGGTGAGTCAGTACCTAATTAGAAGACTACCATAAAATTCTGAGAGAAGTCAAAACTTATGTTTTGCAACTGGGCTTAGTTTCTTTGACCATTAGGTATTTGAATAAATAATACTGGCTAAAAACAGCAGATCTTAATAAAAAGCTGTCATATCATTTATTCAACAATCTTCGCCTTAACAAAAAATATAATAATAATACACATGGCTTATCGTAAAGGTTGGTTGTAAATTTATTTTCAGGGTGTTAATATGACCCTCAGATTAGATTGCAAGGACTCGGCCATACGGTCACCTTTTGAAAGTTTTTGTTTAACTCATAAAAACAAATACAATATAGTTTGATGAAGAGTAAAAAAATCAACA